CTTATGTTATTTCCGATTTTGTAATTAGTCGTTCCGTTCTTGATGTACTATGTTCGTAAAACTTCCCTTAGAAACCACTGGTAGTGGCGTGGAAATAAACTCCTTTAAATTTGTCGCCGGTGCGTTGGTTATAACATTTATAATAACAATCTCTGTATAACTTGTTTAAAAACACTATACCTACCCAGATATCAGCTTTAGTTGAAATTATTTTGCCACTGTATAAATCTATCATTTCAGGTGCCCGGTAAGATAAAGTTGTATACCTAGAGACAAAAATGGCCATAACGTCATAGGGTTAAAAGATCTAGTCCAATAATTTTAAAAAAAACCTGCTCTGAAACAACAATATAACTGCGTAAGGAAAAAATTCCACAAATTTAGACTGTTAGTAAAGCTTGTAATCAAAACATCAATACGTCTTGATTGTGAGTGATTTTAACTGAGTTTGCAGAACAGAGCTCTGTGATTGGTTTACAGAATGGAAAGACATCCTCTCAACTGATGGTACCCAGAAATAAACCCTTCCCATCCCAAGATTCATCACCAAGAATTCACACTTTCTACAAGACAACTCTTATAATTACAGCTCCGGGTATTTGATATGCTCTGGTTGATATTTTACTTTCCCCTTATCACTCTTACACTTGAAAATATTACAATTAATATTGCGAGGAGATATTGCTTTCCAGTCACTCCTGCTCTCTTGCACTGGAGCATGTGTAACATGTAATGCTGACCCCTCAGAGTGACTATCATCTAATTTATCCACCTCTGAATCAAATATTAAGGCCACAAGAATAAAGGAAATGATCAACCACAAAGATGCTGATTGTTAGACTAATTCTCCATGCCAGCATCTTAGGAAATGTATAGAAAATATTAGGAGAATATGCATACTGATGTTTGGATGTAGAGGGTTAATGATAATAGTGTCCTTGGGAGATTGACCTTCTTTCTTCTTCCTTCCTTAGTTAATGCAATTACAAGTACTTTAAAATATCCATGATAACTAATGACTCACTTTTGAATTTCCTCCTCTACCTTGGTGACACCTTCCTCCTGAGTGGACAAAAACAAAAAGATAAAATTTCAATCGAATTTGTGAGTTGTTTGACCAGTCTAAGGTAAAAAAGAAATGCTGCTACCCTCTTAGCTAAGATTCAAATTACATTTAAATTTTATTGTGATGTTTAAATCTTGGACATACTCAGTCTCCCAAGGAAAAACAATAAAAACTCCCTCTTAAACAAAAAACAAATTTGATGGCACCTTGTTCCACTATAAAAAACTGGCTAAAAGTAAAACAAATCTGGTTAAAAATTAGACTATAGATTCACATAGAGACTCCAATTCATGCTTTCTTTTCTCTCAAGGCAGCTCAAGGAAGACAAGCTAAAGTCCACAGAAACTAGCAGTAAATGAAATGCAAAAATTGCTCCATCCAACCTGTGGGTTGACAACTGTTCTGGTTGCACTACCATAGTCACATAAAACAAAGTCACCACGACTACTGCATAAAATATTCTCAACCTGAAAATCATGGATGAGAGAAAGATATTTATGTAAGGGTTTAACATTGCACTCCATTGAAACAAAGCAAACATAAATTAAAACATAGAAGGAACAGGGCAAGTCCTATAGGCACATCATGTAAAATGTACCTACATATGAGTGTAATTAAACCCAAAATTCAAAATATTCTCTAATAACATGCCATAAAAAACAAATTAAGCACTATGACAATGAAATATGTTATTAAAATACTTCACTTGAGTAAAATAGAAATAAACCATGCAATTACAACCAGTACAGTGTAGTTTGATGACCTAATAAAAGGGTTTGTTTATGACTTCTTTAGATTTTCTTCAAGATTTTCTGTCTGCTCGCTTGATTGTTTGTTTGTTTTTTTCCAATGGCTATTAGATACAAATTAAAACATTACCTTAAGGTCTCTGTGAATGACTGGTGGATCAGCTTGGTGCAGCTTGGAAACTGCTTCACACGTATCTGAGAAGATCTTCAGTACTAATGACTCACTGAAGCCTGAGCTGATGTGTTCATTCATCAACTGAACAACATGGCCCTCT